TTGATTTCGGAACGATTTTGTTTGTCATCATTTACACACTTACACACACCAACGTAAGCTATAACTAGGAACGGGTTTCGACCACCCCTCTTATCCTTTTCAACTACAAGCTGTGCTATACAGTTTTGTCTGAAGGAGACTGTCAGGTATGGTCGAAACCCGGTTAAGTATTATGCTTACCTTGCTCTACGTGCCTTACGACACGCGCAGTTTTAGTGAAATCTGTTACTCTGTAACCACGGCAGCAAGCTGTTAGAGGGAACAGGCTTTAAGCCACCGAAACGCTTAAAAGAGAAGGTAACATTTTTCGCAATCGGTTGCGGTGACAAAGTTTATCAGTCGTTTAAAGCTGAGTGACACTTGCATACTGCTCAGGTCTAGAAGCCAGGCTGCCTATCAAATTACTGATTGTACCCGTAATTTATTTGGTTTTTGCTTGCCAGAATATGAAGTAATTCTTGTTGAAAACACGACCCTCATGTTGTCCCTGCCAGTTACGGAAACACTCGCACATCACTGAAGTTATTACCTCGGCAGTGTTGTGCTTGAGTATTTGACATGACAGTTGAATACATGAACGAATGTATTTTGTTGTTTAAATGTACGGAACATGGCCATATCTTTCAATGCGAAACAACATCACGAAACACCAAATGCGTCGGTACAGGTACATTAAACAGCTTATTACACCATCTGTGAGCAAGCGATGATGCGTTTTACATTATGCGAGCCATTGCGGGAATAACTGAATTACATCTCAGTTCCGTTTGACAGTAGATGTTCACTATCTTTGATCTTGTACCGGGGATGTAGGAACATGCTAGGCGACAGAGTTAGATGACGCGGATCATTGTTCTTTGGGGAACGCTGGTGTCTAAGCGCAGGCAAGCTTTCATGATGCATTGTACAAGTTCTTTGACGAGAACCAGATTGAACGCCTGGCGAAGAATGGAAATGTTGGTTTTAAAAGGTCAGGAAAGAATATTGGGGAGACGTAAGTAAATGTGGGAAGGATACACCATTTGATAAAATGGTGCACAGTGGATTTTGGAATCCGTACCTACCTTAGACGAATAAGGTGGTTAATGCACTTCGGCATTTTATTAGTGATCAGCTTCATATGTTCGAGCAAAGACAAATCTTTTGATGGAAACATCCCAAGGTATTTCGTACCGTTTCCACGTTTAACTTCAGCTTAATCAGTTTTGGACGGAACGTTGCATAGGTATAGGGACTG